ATGATCCGTGAAAGTTCCCGTTGGCATACCAGGTCCAGGTCCCTCCGAACAATTGAGAATGCCATCGGATAATTGTCCGCAAAAGAAGCCACACTCATACCAATCGCCGAGTTGGTCACCCATTAGCGAACACGCCCTCCCATTTCCGCCTCCGATCGGTTGTAGCTAGCCACAGAAACTCTCCCCTCCTTCTCATTTTCCTTTCATTCTGCCATACCCCAAGCCCTTATTTGCTTTAACTTATCCCTCTCCCATCTGGCGGACCCTCCTCACTTTTTTCATCGCCCTCCCCTTCTCATCATTCGAAAACCCCCCTCCCCCATCTCTCTATTGACTATCCTTCCTCGTCGATCCCGCTCCTCCCATCTCCAGCCAGCCCCTGGATTCGCCATGTGGCCCCCCCCTTCTTCCTTGGCAGTCAGGCTTACCTGCTTGCTCTCTAGTTGCACCAACAAAGCCCCTAAGCTCTCACAAAGCCCAAATTTCTTCTCGCTTACACTGGTTCTTCACTCGAACCGCAGATCCGCTGTCTACGGTCTTCCGACCAACCGGGGGGGTCTATCACGCAGATGAATCGCCCGGGTCCCTTTCGCGCCGTATCCCTTGGTCTCGCTAGGAGAAGTCTCAAGCTGCTGACCTCCGAGCCACCACTGGACCGCCCCGTCTCGTAGGCATGGTCCCAGGCGGTCGCTGTGACAGGATTGTCTCGGCCGTATTACTTGACAAAGGTCGGGGCGTTCCCCCCCCTTTTCTCTCGGCACTGCAGCCTTCCCCAGGTGCACCCGTAGTAGTCCGGTGGTCTTTTATGGCCGGGGTCTAGAGCCCCCCCCCACCGTCTTCCACTTTTGATCCGACCAAGGCCCACTCTGATGCACACCTTCCGCCCCATATTTTTCAGATTCTGACACCGAAAATTTCAATATTTTATCATCTGCCTGAGCCTGCTTGCAACAAAGGTTTGAACCGCTACTCCATCGAATAGAAGGGTTAGTATGAAGCCCCGGACGCCCGAGGACATCCATAAACACCATACCCACATGCATGCAACCATCAAAACCCAAGCAAAAACTGCAAAAAAAAACGAAAAATTGTTTTTCTTTTTAAAGAAGAAAGCCTTCGGCTGATAGACAACCGCCCGACAACGTAACCTATAGGGCTAACCCCAAACCTGGATGCATCAGGCCCAATTCTTTATATGAAGAGTAACTGTAGCCTGCCCAGGCCCGCAAGGGTGTGCCAAGGCCACCGCTCGGCCCACTCCCCTATTCCATGACCTTGTAACGCCGTGCTCTGCTGCCCCGAGGGCAAGCGTTGCTCGGGTTACCATGCGCATCGCCCCTTCATGCCGCGGCCGCGGCCCGAGGCTCTCATGGCCTACTGCGACCGTCCTCTTACTGCCTTTTTGTCGGCAAACCCCCGACTTTTGCACCTACTAAATCATGTTCGCACTTCCTCCCTCGGACCTCTGTGATGAGTCCAAATACCGGTAATACCCCGTCACCTTAGTGTGTTGCACACTATGCGACCTCAGCGCCTGCCGCTCATAGGACCTGGCTTCGTCCCTGACTGTCAACCTCCAGCCTCTACCACGCGGAGGTTGCCGCTTGCGCTCTTCTCTCTCTCGCACACCCTACTTACTGCTCAAAGTGACGCCACTTCCGATGACGTATGCCGTATGAACGCAGATGTGCCATGGTCAGTTCGATAAAAGAAAAACCTTTCCTAGTTTTAATCAAAACCAAAATTTCTGCAGGCGGAAACGCCGACCCTATAGCATCAAAAATGAAAATAATCACGTGCGTCTCAAAACTGCGCGCCCACACATACTTTACTTCCTACCAACCACTCAGTCAACGCGAACCAAACACGACCGCAACTCCGCACGGTATACCCTAACTCTTAACAAACCTTATTTTCTGCCACTTGCAAAAACCAGGGCGGATACCCTTGTAAAGGTATTCGCTCCGACACCGTGATTATATTTTTGGGTTTAGCAAACAGGCAAGAAAAACTCAAGGGCGACTTAAGTGTGGCCCTGACAAACCTAAGGCCTTGTTCCACACCACTCAAAACTCAAGGACTTCTTGCACGACACTGTTCTATGGTGCCCTTGAGTTTTGCTAATCACGACCCGATCGTGATTACATTTTCGGGCTTAACAAACGGGCGGAAAAAGCTCAAGGACAGCTTAAGTGCGGCCCAGGTAAACCTACCCGTTTTTCAAGTCTCCTCTCTTGGCACACTTGAGTTGCACTTGAAAACGACGTTGCAGGTATGTGTATAACCCCCTCAAGTTTTGTTTTTTTGTTTGTGCATTCTCCTTCTTCTACAACGTTTGTCCTGGTTGAACCTCACCCGAGCTGTTGCAACACTATTCCCGTTGATTTCAAGGGTGGACTAAAGTGAAACTAAACATGACTCATATATTTTTTAATTGTGATTGGAACTCGAGTGCGCACCCGAGTTTCAAGTGAAGTGGTGTGGAACGAGGCCCGTACCTCTGTCAGAGCCAGTTTTCTATTGGATCATCAGAGGTCAGAGCTCTTTTATCCTCATCATGAGATCCACCAACAAATTTGTGTCAACAGATCCTGAGTTTGAGTCCGACTCAATAACGCCCATACAATGATGGCAGTGCTTCTCCCTTCACAAAAAGGGAGTGAGAACTAGGGCTTCCATTCTCTGGGCGAAAGGCGAGAGCCGAAGTAATAGAGGGCGTTGGATCATTATTGGGGCGAAAGGTGAGAGCCAAAGTAACAAAGCATGTTGGATCTGTTAGAATCTAATGGGCGCAGATAAAGGGAGAAACTTTCCCGCCTAAACTTGTGTCACACATAGGGCCTCGTTCCACACCACTTCACTTCACTTCACTTGAAACTCGAGTGTGTACTCGAGTTTCAAAAGTGATTAACAAATACCTGAGTCACGTTTCGTTATACTCAACCCTCGAGTCCGCCCTTGAAATGAGCGGGAACAACTCGCGAGAGGCTCAACCGAGGTTCAATCAGGACAATGGCGTTAGAAAAGGAGTTCAAACGGAGAAAAAAAACTATCAGGGGGTTCTACACGTACCTATAGCGCCAATTTCAAGTGCAACTCAAGTGTGCCTAGAGAGGTGACTTGAAAAAAGGATCAATTTGCCTGGGCCGCACTTGAGTTGCCCTTGAGCTTTTCACACCCATTTGCTAAACCCAAAAATCGAATCACAGGCGGGCCGTGATCAGCAAAACTCGAGGGCAAAGTAGAACGGTGTTGGTCAAGAAACCTTTGAGTTTCGAGTGGTGTGGAACGAGCCCCATAACTTTCCCTCTATTCAATCTTGTCCCACCCTTGTAGGCCACTACAACTACATGATGCTAGCAGGACTTAGCCCCCGATATGTTTTTTTCCCCGTTTATTCTCGTTTTTCGAATGTGCTTGTCGCCCCAACTGTTGCAACACCATTCCCGCTCATTTCGAGTGCGCACTCGAGTTTCAAGTGAAGTGGTTGGGAACAAGGCCCTTTGTTGTGTCGCGCCGGCAGGCCCAAGGGCGGGGAAAAGAAGGGACTCGTTCCACACCACTTGAAACTCAAGGGTTTCTTGCCCAACACCGTTCCATGGTGCCCTTGAGTTTTGCTAATCACTGGCTCGTCGTCATTAGATTTTCGGGATTATCAAACGGGCGGGAAACTCTCAAGGGCGGCTCAAGTGTAACCCAGGCGAACAAGGTGATTTTTCAAGTGACCTCTCGGTGCAAGCGAGCGGCGCGAGGCGGTTTCAGGTACGTGTAGAACACCCCGATGGTTTTTTTTTCCCATTTATTCTCCTTTTTCTAACACCATTGTCTCGCCCCACATACGCCATGTTAGTTTAGTTTTCTACAACTGTGTGATGCCAAAAGGCGGGAAAAGAATGTTGAATCATCTTTTTATTTGATTTCATTCATCTAGTGCCACTAGGATTCGAACTCAGGTTTTCCTTTCAACAGTTCACGAGTGCCACATCCTATTCCTCCTATTGGACAAACTAGATCCTTGGGGCCCTGGACATGTCTCTGACAAAGAAAACCTGGTATTACATTCCCCATGCATTCACTGAAGAGAAAATCCCCATGTAGTGTACTATCCTGAAAAAAACTCATAGAATGGGCCTCGTTCCACACGACTTCACTTCACTTGAAACTCGAGTGCGCACTCGAGTTGCAAAAGTGACTAAAAAATACCTGAGGACAATGGCATTAGAAAACGGAGAATAAACGGGGAAAAAAAAAACATTGGGGGGTTCTACACATACCTGAAACCGCCTGGCGCCGCTCTCTTGCACACTTCTCAAGGGCAGCTCAAGTGTGGCCCGAGAGGTCACTTGAAAAATCACCTCGTTTGCCTGGGCTGCACTTGGGCCGCCCTTGAGAGTTTCCCACCCGTTTGATAATCCCGAAAATCTAATGACTACCCCCCAGTGATTAGCGAAACTCAAGGGCACGGCGGAACCGTGATGGGCAAGAAACCCTTGAGTTTTGAGTGGTGTGGAACGAGCCCCACAACTCCCGTGCCTCTCCCGCATCCCCAAAGTGACCCCAACATGACACCCCAACAAATCGGCTGCTGGCTCCCCTTCCAAAAAGGCGGGTTGTGTAATCCTACCGTCCATTCGTCAGATGATCAATGGTTCGCAGTGATCGCACAGTCGCACAGGTAGCAGCCATAGTTTTCTGCTACGGGATCCTACCGCTGCATGTGGGCCGAGACCCCTGCTACCTGTGTGACTGTGGGATCACTGCGAACCATTGAACCTCTCGCGAGCTGTTCCCGCTCATTGGGCCGACTCGAGGGTTGAGTGGAACGAAACGTGGCTCAGGTATTTTTTCATGACTTTTGCAACTCGAGTGAGCACTCCAGTTTCAAGTGACGTGGTGTGGAACGAGGCCCGAAAGGTCGGGCGTGCAGTCCGGGCCGGTCGCGGGTTTTGCCCAAAGGGTCAACGCGTGGAAAGCTGTGCTCGGCAGTTTGAGAAGGGAAGGCGCGAGGCGGGATAGAAAGCGGTAGGTCTCCATCGTAATAGGTTTTTCCTCCATTTTCATCGCAGCCTTCCTCTCTTCCGCATAATAGGCTTTTCCTCGTCCTTTGTGGCCTCCTCGTCGTCGTCACCGCGTGGCACTCTGTTATAGATATTCGCCAATTTGACGCTGCCACGTGTCATGCTCCGCTCAACCTTTCCATCGGTTGATTTGTAATTGGTAAGTCTTGTTTTTTTGGGATAATTGCTTTTTTTTTTTTTTTTTTTTTTTTTTTTTTTTTGGGATAACTGGTTAGTCTATTCACCCCTACACCCCCGCCTTTCTCAACACAATTTGGGTGGCATTCGTGGGTGTTTTTTTTTTGTTTTTTTGTTTCCCCGCTTGTTGCCTGCCGTGGGCTCCTCTCTTTATATCGCCTCTCTTCTCTTTCTCTATATGTGTGTGTGTGTGTGTGTGTGTGTGTGTGTGTGTGCGTGTGTGTGTGTGTGTGTGTGTGTGTGTGTGTGTGTGTGCGCGCGCTTTCCCATGAATGTCAGATTGCTTGATACAGGAGTCATCGGCCCGAGATCTAAGATGTTGACGATATGCCAATGACACACACACACGCACACACACACACACACAGACAGAGAGAGAGAGAGAGAGAGAGAGAGAGAGAGAGAGAGAGAGAGAGAGAGAGAGAGAGAGANGAGAGAGAGAGAGAGAGAGAGAGAGAGAGAGAGAGAGAGAGAGAGAGAGAGAGAGAGAGAGAGAGAGAGAGAGAGAGAGAGAGAGAGGCGAAAACTTGGCGGATCCAGTGTCCGGATGCGTGGATGAGCGTTGGGTTGATCGGGGTTTGTGGTGGGCAGATCAGGATGTGCAGGTGGAGGCATGAGATGGACGGACAGAGAGTAATGATGGGCGGTAGGCGGATGGAGGATCGGCATGGCCGTTATGCCGTTGGGATGGGCAGATGGAGGGTCGCATGGGTGCTATGTTCGTGGGAATGGGCAGATGGAGGATCGATGGACGGTCTGGATGGTTGGTCGGCAGATTGGGATGGCCTGATGAAGGGTCAGCATGGACGGTAAAAGCGCAATGCCTTTGACGCACGGGGGAGGCCGCTCAGGCCCGGGCTCCACAATACCTGCATCAATCGATCGATCAATCAATCAATCAATCAATCAATCAGTCAACGACCGGCGTTCTTTTCTTTTTCTGAAGAATGCTTAGCAACGGTTTTTTATTTTTTTTTTTCCAATCAATCAATCGAGGCCCCACGTATTTTTTGCTCTTCTTTTCCCGAAGAATGCTTAGCGACGGTTTTTGGATTTTTTTTCTCTCCCCAAAAGGAAAGCAATGCGCTTGAATCGTTTTGTTTTCTCTTTCTAATGGGTAAAAAACCCTGATGGGGAAAAAAATCCTGTTTTGTTCTATGTGATCGGGCTGGGGTGTGAGGCTTGGCGGGCTTTTTGCTTTGGAGGGGACGTGCGTGGTTTGGAAGTGACCCGCGTGTTTTTTTGGGAGGGGGTAAAAAAAACAAGGGGGAAAAAAAAWCCCGTWTCCYTCTATGTGATCGGGCTGGGGTGTGAGGCTTGGCGGGCTTTTTGCTTTGGAGGGGACGTGCTTGGTTTGGAAGGGACCCGCGTGTTTTTTTTGGGGGAGAGGGTGGTTAAAAAAAAAGAAGGTGACCATCTCCCTTTTGAAGGGGCGTGCGCGCTTACAAAAGATTTTTGCATCCCTTTTTTGTTTTTTTTGAAAAGCCAATCCGCTTGTCGTTTTCTTCTTTTTATCAGCTTAAAAGAAAACCACCACTTTTTTTTTGAAAAGCCAGCTGCGACGATAGACACTGGATTGTCGGCAGACTTGGTTATCAATTTTTGTAGACAAGAAAAAAAAGAACATTGCCTGTCTCCGGGACTTTCTCCGCTTTTCCTCTTCTCTTTCTCTCTCTCGCCCTCCCTCCCCCTCCCTCCCTCCCTCCCTCCCTCCCTCCTGCGCATCTGCCTCTGCGCCGGCAGTGGAGCCGCGGCTGGTCTGCTTGTTATTATTTGTAAAATTTGGTAAAGAATTTCGATGTGACCGTGGGGTAAAAGTTGTTCAGTTTGTTTTTTTGCATAACGTAGTTTTTTTTCCCTTTTTTTTTGCAGGGACTTTCCCTGACTCTTGCCCGGCCGGGCCCGCCCGGTCAACGAAGGTGACCCGGGCGGCCCGGTTGGTAGCTCAGTGCCGTATGGTTTTATTTTGTCAGTGCCTTATTGTTTACAGGTGTACTGCCTGACTTAGTTATTATCGCATTACCGGCCGATTATTTAATTACTGTTTTTTTTTTTTTGTCGTTTTCAATTAAGGCCTCGACATATCATCATAGGACCGGAGGGCCCCAGGTGATTCAAGAATTTAATTTTTATATTGTTCCATCGAGATTCCAACTCAGGTCTGTATTTTAACAAGTCATGGGACCCGGTGTACCAACTGAGCTAGGCCAGTCGGTTCTTATTGTTGTTTAGGTATTTGATTTTTGTCTGGTCTGTGTTCTTATGGTTTACACGTTCGATGCCATCTGTGTTACTTCAATTTATAATTGGGAGTATTCTACTTTCGGGTATTTTATATTTCATAGAATATTGAACGGAGACTGCTGATGTTCGTAAGGGGAGGGGACCGGAGGGGAGGCACAGCGGCTGGCCAATCGAAGAAGCTTGGTGCTGATGCAACCGGCTGACCACGAACCTGTTGGCAGGGGGAGGGGACCGGAGGGGAGGCTTGAACAGGTATGTGGTTCCTACAGGACTCCCGTAGTACTAAAATGTCAATAAAATGGGCCTGATTGGCCATCCTGTCCGGATTTGACAGGTAATTGACAGAATAAAGCCTTTTTACTGTATGTGGTTGGGCTTGAAAGAAATAGCTTTTTTTTTTTTTTTTTTTTTAACCAAAACAAATGTTAAGATACAATAGAATATTGTTAAATATATCTTAGTACTTGTTACATTATTGATAGAGTATATATTTGACGATATATATATATGTATATTCTACTAATTTACTAGATAGGGTTCAGCTTCCTGATGAGTAGGCAGGTGAAACTCCGACGAAACAGTTTGTCACAGCCGCTACTCGTTTGTATTTCTCCCTCACTCCCTCTCTGCCCCTACGGTTTACCGGGCAGCTCTGTTTGACGATATATATCGTCACAAACAGAACTGCCCGGTAAACCGTAGGCAGAGAGAGAGAAGAGGACAACAAACGAGGGGCTGTGACAAACTGTTTCGTAGGAGTTTCACC